ACTATGCTTGAAGCCAAGCGTAGTTCTACTACGCTTGACGAAAGGCGTAAAACTACGCTTGAGTTCTACCAGTGTGTATGTAGTAAAGGTATCATCTGCTAAAAACTGAACCAGTTGAGCTAGGATAGTGAAATTTCGCGTGTGCCGAGCCAAGAACATACCTAATAAGCCTGCAAAATCTCAGGTCCAGATCGACCGAGCCGTTCAGGAGGAGTAGTGTACACACACACACAGACAGACAGACAGAAAAAACTTTTCAACCGCACTGGAGTAACAGGCTTCGCTATCGCTCAGCCAAAAATCTGAAATCCCCGAAAAGTTCATGAAAAGTTGCAATTTTGCTCGCTTATTTACGATTTGAGTCGTTCATTTACGATTCATTTCGCAAAGTTACGACAAGATTCGTAAATGTACGACTGAAGTCGTAACTGCACGACATATTCCATAGAAAAATTACGATCGTTCGTAAACTTACGATTAAGTTGTAAATCAACGACTTAATTCGTTTCAAAACGGAACGTCTCGCTATTGAAATTAGCGACAAATATGTCGTAAATTTACGACTGTAGTCGTATATTTACGAATTGAGTCGTAATAAAATATGTCGTTTAAAAACGACATGATTGTTTTACAAAATGTCGTAAATTTACGATTATTTTTAACAGTGTATTATTAAAAGCGTGTGATTGGTTAGGTCTGTTTAGCCAAAAGGTTGCTTTCTGTGATCGAAATGTGATTCAGTCTTCTAGAGAACATCATATGGCCTGATAGTCTTCTTAGTGTTTTCATGACTACTATTCAAGGGGTGGGCTCAACTCTACCACGCACGATCGGCCGAAAATACATATTTGAAGTAATTTTTATTTTTAGGCACGAAGTAGCCTTATAGTATACCCAGGATTCAGCCGGCCCGAGATTCGATTTGTGTGGCCCTTTATGCATTTCGGAAATTTTCTATACGATTTTAATGAGATTTTGCAGACTTGTAGAACTTTGAACGCTGATTCTGATGCTGAAATATGGTTAAAAATTTGGTGGCCAATTTTGAGAAATTTGCTGTCAAAATCGCCGTTTCCATGGCAAAACTCGACTCGTCAAAGGAAAAAAAAGGGAGTGGGGGGAGCCGAGCCGAGCCGGACCAATAGCGGAGCTTCTTTTTGGGTCTGTACAGCTTACTCCAAAAGCTGAAATAGCACGTTCGAAATGAAAAATTTCTTTGACTGCATAGACAAGATGCAACAATAGAATTGGTGTCGTTTCGAACGTGGCCATTTGGATCGGCCGGCCGGCCAGTGACTTTTTATGAGAGTGTCCCGCACCAATCCCGCACCGCTGCGTTATTGTTTTTGTTGTTGTTTTGTTGAAAATTTTTGTTACTCTTCAAATCGGAGTGAATTGAGCCATTTAACTGCGTACCTGTGCACATGCATCTGTGAATTATCTTTCCTTAATGTAGTTTAAGAGTCGCTTTAAGACTTTTAGTCTCTTTTTGAATAAGCTGGTCATATAGCTGCTCTTTTTAGCCAGGTTTGATGGTACTTCTGATTCAGTTAGCACCATGATCACTTCACTCCACCTCGCGACTTTCAGTGCTCATGTTCCTCGAACAAGACTCACCCGCGTTTCGAGACCATCCCTCTCGAGTTTATAAAGTTTGTCAAGCCAACCGTCGTGGTGTTGCTACGTTGTGAGTGAGAACTATTACACAGAATTGAAGAAAACATGACTAGAGAACCATAGCCTTTTGAAACAAGCCAAACAATTCAACGTCAGCAACAATGGAGAGGCAGTTTTAATGCGCGACTATACTCGTGTTTTCAGCTTCGCGATTTTCGCAAGGGCGCAGACGCCGACAAAATTGTTGCCAACCCGCGAAAGTATATTTACTGCCTTCTTTCTGCTACCAAAATTTTCATAATGATGGACTTCAAAGATGTTCCTTTGTCAGATCACTGTGGAATACATTAGCATTGGAATTTTTCGAATTTCCCGGCATTTTGATTTCTCTTTATTGCCAAGGTTAAATTTTGACGGGTGGCACATCGACCACATTGGTACCACTGCCGTTCGTAGCCACTCTTGAGCCACCCCCTACCTTTAACATAACTTTTTTGCTTTCCCCACACTCCAACCCAAATTGACTTCGTGACTCCTAGGATTTCTTGAAATCGTATTTTTTTTATTTTTTATTTATTATTATTTGTTTGTAAAGGAAGCTTTTTGTGGTCATTTTACCGTGTTAAAATAATATTAAAAAAAAAGATAATTTTACTCTGGTGTGTTGAGAGGGTGGGGTAGAGCAGCTGGTGATGTGTTGGGCGACCAGGCCGAGGTTTCGGGTTGGACACGCAAGCCGAGCCCCCTTTGACGAGGCTACCGATTCACGCCGTGTATGAAAAATTCGCTCACTTCTCGTCGTCAGCGCCCCAGGAGCTGTGCGGTGAGTTCCAGACACTGCGTCGCTACCCCGCCAGTGAGAGACTTTCGTTCGTAAAGGGGTATCGCCGGTACCAAGAAACTTAGGAGCTATCACGTGAAGTGATACTATCGCATGTGTTCTCTAGATTTTCTCCTAACAGTGGCCCTTTCTTCCCCAGTTCTTATCGACACATTTTACTCACTGAAACCAGACGACAACCTCGAATGCGGATAGAGGAAAGCACTTATGTTTGTCAACACTGTGCAGACCACCGCCTGGAGGGCGAATAAGGAAGCCTGTTGCTGTTGGCCCGATTCGGACGCGTCACCAGGCGACCACACCTTTCTCGCAGTAGTGCTACTTGCCCCCACTTCCCCCTTTGGGTTTTAAAAGAAAGGGACAGGTGTCATTTGATAGGTTATCACTCGGGCTTTCATTGTGGTGCAGTGGCGAAGTCATGGGGCTCCCGGCTCCGAGCGCCTCGGGAGGGCATTTTGGACGCAGCCCCGACAGCAGCAGACGAAGACGGCGACGAGCGAGCTATGCACTCTCATTCCAGGAACGTGACATCACGTTGAAACGAACGTGACAAAGTGTCACGTTCGTTTGAGCATTGTGTCACGTTCGTTTGAATGTGAACAAGCTGTTTTTTGGGCCCAAATTCACACCCAAACGAATGTGACACAATGCTCAAACGAACGTGACATTTTGTCACGTTCGTTTCAACGTGATGTCACGTTCCTGGAATGAGAGTGTGTGTGAAGCAGAGAAGTCTCTCGTGTTTGTTAATGTTGTACCCCGATACCAGCAGCAGCCGGAAGTGTGTTTTGGGCCGAGTGCGCAGTGCGCGTCCAAATATGCATATTTGGTTACTCGTTTTCGCACTCTGGAGCGGCGGTAAGCCGCGCAGTGCTGCGTGTTGGTGAGGTTAACCCTTCCACTGATTCCAATCGTTCCTTTTTTCGTGGCTCTATCTGATCTGCTCCATCAAATCCGCGTCGTTCCTTTTGGTTCTGCATCGTTTCTGCTCTTCGCCGCTGGCCTGGGTAAGCCTAACAGTAGGCACGATTTGTTTTGGGAAACCGCTGCGGGTTTGGTATGGAAACTCAGGCTCACTTCGGGTTTTGCATTTAAATTTCCTTGCTCGTCCAATAGACGTGCGCCATTCTTTGCATCGAAGCTCGTCAGTTGTAATCGTCAAGTGAAGTGTCATCATGATCTGCTCTCCTAGTTCCTAGTTTCCAAGTGTCCAACTTGGCATGCAAAGCTTATGCTATATAGCATGGGGCTTGTCTGCATTTGCAACCAGATTGCAGGTCATTGACATGCTGGAAGTAACATATATCTTATCTTTGCAGTAATGGATCCAGCTTGGCTTACGAGAACCAGTCCCAGTGCTCTTGGCAGTTTCTTCAAGGGTGGAATGGAAGGGTTGCTGCTGTCGGTTTGCTGTCAAGTCGCCAACACTGAACTTCTTGTTGAGGTGAGTGAGTTTGAATTTGAATTTTGTTGTTCATGAATGCTGTGCTGTGCCAGTCAAGAACCTGTCCTGTCAACTCATCTAACTAATGGCATCAAACTGTAAACATATGGGAATGACAACACGAGGATCTGCTGCCGTTGTTTTGAAATCTTTCGTATATTTACAAGGTAGGTTTACGCCAGACCGCGTCTTGTCGTAACAGGCTTCGCGATGTCTCGCGGCCTGTTCCTCCAATCCGCGCCTGGCGTACCTACCTTGGCCTGCGGCGCTAGCCTGCCTTCGGCAGGCATTGGCTTGTCCATCGTCGGTTACTTCTTACGTGTTGCATGCTGTGGGGCTCCGCCCCCCAGACCCCCCTTAATTCTAGAAAGAGTTGCTTAATCTACAGATAACACGATCTGGCCCCTTGTAACTTTTTAACTTGTCGAGGTTGGGGAGCTCCCCCCCCCAGACCCCCTTTCTTCAAGACAGAAGTGATCTGCCTGCAGAAAACTCGATTTTTCGCCGTTTTTTGGGTGTTTTTCGGCTATAAAAACTGAACCACTTGAGCTAGGATGGTGAAATTTCGCGTGTGCCGAGCCAAGGACATACCTCATAAGCCTGCAAAATCTCAGCCAGATCGGCTGAGCCGTTCAGGAGGAGTAGTGTACACACACAGACAGACACACAGACAGACAGACAGGAAAAATTTTTCAACCCCACTGGAGTAACAGGCTTCGCTATCGCTCAGCCAAAAATCAATGCTCCCTAGTGTTGGGACCTCTCTTTGTACGTGTTTGTTTTGTTGTGTATGCATTATAATTTTTTGTTTTGTTTTTTTGTCTGCAGGAGTACTCTGCCTCATATGTATGACTGTATGGAAAGGTGGTCCATTTATTCCTTTTCCCTGTCCCGTGTGGAGGTGTCAGGATGACTCAACCCAAACCCTTTGGGTGGATTGGCAAAGTGAGTTTTGTCATTCAAAGTGTAGATTCCTCTCTTGTGTGTTTGAACCACAGTGCCCTTTGTGTGGAAAATTTATTTGGAAAGGGCTTTGCTTAGTTCATTTAAATGAAAAAGTGTCTTCCTTTGTGCTTCAGCTCTGGAAAGAAATCAGCATACAGCTCGGTCATTACAGGAATTGCCGACCAGTAGCAAAAGTCAGACGCACTCATTGAGGTTGGTCCACATTTATTATTCATACCTCTGGTGTATTCATGTTGGGCAAAGTGTTGAATGGGTTCTTTCTGATATACAGTGTGCTTGGATGTGTATGCATTATAATTTTTTGTTTTGTTTTTTTGTCTGCAGGAGTACTCTGCCTACGGTGAAAGGTGAGGCCAGAGGTTCAACGGAGAATCATCGGAAACCTGTGTGTCATATTCATTGGCCATTATTCAAGCGCTTGTGTAGGTAAATGTTATTTAGAATATACCTAGATCAAACTGTCACTTTTTCCCGTAAAACAGGAAGCCAGTGGCATCTCTGATGAGAGCATGAGTGCATTGTTTACACATCATCCTATTCCACCATCCTCTGGTGATTGTCACCCCATTTATGATCTGCTTTTCTCATGCTAGGGTTCCTTTTCTAATTTTGACTTCAGTTGATTCTGAGGGAATATAAAAGGAAATATGGGAGAGGGTTTCTAGCTTTGATATACTATCGGATTGCTTTCTCACCTTCTTGTGTTTGTAACAAAGTCTGTTTTGGTTTTTATTGCAGCTCTGAACAAAACCCAACACGGTGAAACTGACTCATCTGCTCCAATGTGCTTCCGATGCCTCTCAACTCTCTTCAGCCGTTTCCCTTTGGAAAAGTCAATGGATTTAGAAGTGTTCCAGACCTGGTGGAAGGTGTTAAAAAAATTACCGTATCAATGAGATGATCTCCCTGTTGTTTTTATTTTTGTATCAAAGGTGCGTCTCATTGTGGGAAAGCATAAGAATTTCATTCATTGAAGCCAGTGCATTGTGAGTGCTATTGGATAGTTGTTAGCATAATATGAAAACAAACAGACCAGGAAGAGTAGGCTATTGTTGTGCTGGAAGTGACACATACATTTTAATTTTGCAGGAATCAAAGTAGCTTGGCTTGGGTGGATCAGCCCAAATGCTCTTGTTATTTTGTTCATGTGGTGGAATCGGGAGGCTGCAACTGTCCGTCTGCTACTCACCGGTCAGTTAAGAATCTGCATTTTGTGTTTGATATTTTTTGCATCTTTGAACAATCTTACTTGCCTGCTCCCATCTGCTTTGATGCCTCTCAACTTTTCTCAGCCCTCCAAGAGTTGCAGAACTACTGCAATGTTAAATTCAAAAGTTTATTAGTTATTCTATCTGGGAATGTCAAAGGGATGGATAAGCCCGAGTCAAAAGTTAGTTGTTGTTGCGAACTGCCTTCGCATAGGTGTTATCTTTAGTTTAGAACTGCTCTCTCTGCTTTCTCTCTGAAAGATGAAACCGTCAATCAAAAGCAGGCATGTCAACGGTGAAAAAACTTTCTACCTTCTAAATTTTAATGTCATTTTTCGGGGTTTTGTTTTTATTAGGAACTGCAAGCCCAGGAAGCAATAGGCTGAGAGGCAACTTCTGTTGGTGTCTAGCCACTCACATGTGTTCTAAGCATGGATGGCTTCAGGATGGCTCCATTGTTCCATTTTTTTGTCTGAATTATGTTGAGTCTTTTCTTCTCCTTCTCTCTCCCCCTCTCCCTTTTATTCATTTTTCCCCTTTGTTTTAGAGCAGAGCTATGCTGGGTACTCTCTAAATGATATGATAAACAATCGTAAGATCTCGCAAGAAACATAAACATAAAATATGTTGGTGTTACAATGAATCGTGTTGCATGCTGAGGTATAATGTATATTCTTCCAATGAGGGGACTGTAGACCGGCTCAAATTTCCCGAAGGTTCGAAATGTCGATGCGCGGAAACGGAATTCGGTTCCTTTTCGGATTCTAAGACTCTGAGAATTTTTTGGGATTTTTGAGGTCACCGGAAGTGGTCCCGCACGGCAGGGTAAGTTAGGCGCACTGCTAAATGATAGACCAGCAGTAAAGCGGCCTTAATATTCATTTTACGGGCATATTCCATGAAACAAAAGTTGTCAGAAATGGTCAAATTAGTAAAAATATGGAATGTCTGATTTCAACAACTCAAAATTTGCAATCTGGGTGCCTACCTGTAAGGGGTAACTGGCGTCTATTTTATCTCGGAACCCCAAGAGAAGTGGATCAAGACAGAAACACTGTTAAAAAAGTTATGAATTTTCAAAGCAATTTTGATGACAATTTTCCGAACACGGATATGAATTTTACAAACATTGCAGTTTTCATAACTTGATGCGAAAATTCGAAACAATTTCGTAAAATTGACAATTGTTGGTAATTTTAAAACCATGTTCTGAAAGTTGCGAATCTTAAATGTTGATTTTGAGCACAAATTTTGAGATGGCCTCAGTAAATACACGCACAACTGATCCAAATTATTTCCCCATTAATTGAATAAATTATGATTAATTGCGAATTATGTAAAATTATTACAAATTATTGGTAATTATTCCAAAACAAATAAAATAATGAAAATATTATTGAAATTGTCCGGAAGGACGATCATGCTCCGTAGCGACGCCCGAGCAGCGGCAAGCTTAGGTGGCTTTGGGTTGTGTCAAGCTGGATGATCACAGACGTGGATTTATTCAACTCATTGACACGAGGCTAATGGCCTGGTATGACAAATTAAGTGCTGCTCTGAAATCCACGGTTGAGGCTACGTTAGTCGATTTGAGAATTTACGCAACCACAACATCTGTCGTCTGCTAGCGGACTTCACCGCTACAAACACCACAAACCATCACTTCCTCTTTGGAAAATTGATAAGCATTCAATATTTCCATAACGGCACTAGTAGCCAAAGAATGTGACGTCACGTTTGTTTTCACCAAGGGGTTACCCACTCAAATTTTTAGCGTACACAGGATTCGTGATTACCAAAATTACCTTGATTACCAGGATACCAAGATTCCCGGGTTCCCAGGATTACCTAATGTTACTATGATCCCAAAAGATTCCCACGATTACCAAGCGATTACCATGATTACCCAATGATTACCATGATTGCTCAGCGATAACAATGTCTATCAGCATTCTTGGATAATAACACTTTCACTTGAATGGCTCGTCTCTGGAAACAGAGCTACTGCAAAAAAGCATAGTGTATTTCCCGGCCATAGCCCCCCATAGGAGCCAAGGTGATGAGAAGTGACGGTGTTGCGCGATTTCGTCTGCTTGGTTTCTTGGAGTTGGTACAAGATTCTGGCGTGGTCGGGCGTAAGAGAAGTTTATTTTGCCGCCATTCCACCCCTGACTTCTAAAGAGACTAAGTTAAAACAAGTTCCATTTTTTGGTTAAATTTGAAAAATGCAAACAAAAAATAATTCTTTAAAAAAATATAGTGGGAGGCAACTTCTTTGAGAGTCCTCTAAAGTAGTATCTTTATCAGCAATTTTTTTGGATAGGAAAATAATAGTAAATTTTAGTTCACAAAAAATTTAAAATGTGGCACGAGAACGCAATACCCGACACGCCTTGGGTGGGGGGCTTCGGGTCACTTCAGTGTCCGGGGAAGACACCTCCCCGAGCAGGGACTATGTCGGCCTCCACTCCACACTGGTGCCTTGCGAGTCTAATCGGTGGCCTACCTTGCCATTGCCATTACTATTAACGGCTAACCACACATGATCGTATGCCATTTCGGGCCCGACACATGCCCGCTGCACTGCGGGCGTTAGACTCCCCCCCACAGTTGCGATTTCTAAGATTCTCACACGATTACTACGATTACTACAAGATTTACTCACGATTACTATGATTACTACAAGATTACCACGATTACCAAGATTACCGAGATTACCACGATTACCCATGATTACCGAGTCAGTGTACACAGGATTACCTCAGTGGGTAACCCCTTGGTTTTCACGTGAAAACGGCGATGTTAGTTTGAGCGTGACAAACGGTGAAAATCAACATTCAAACGAATGTGACACACCGCACCGCTTTGTCACATTACTTCGGGTGTGACATGCAATCAGCTTTCAAACTGTCACATTAAAACGTGACACATGGTACCCAAGTACACATGTCGTGTCACATCCAAACGAATGTGACACCCATGTACTGTCACGTTCGTTTGAATGTGTAATGCACCGTTATGGAAATATTGGATGCTTCTCAATTTCCCAAATACATAGTGATGGTTCGTGGTGTTTATAGCGGTGAAGTCCGCTAGCAGACGACAGATGTTGCGGTTGCGTAAATTCTCATACCGTGGATTTCAGAGCAGCACTTAATTTGTCATACCAGGTGATTAGCCTCGTGTCGATGACTTCAATAAATCCACGTCGGTGATCGTCCTGCTCGACACAACCCAAATCAACATAAGCTTGCCGCTGCTCGGGCGTCGCTACGGAGCATGATCGTCCTTCCGGACAATTTCAATATTATTTTCATTATTTTATTTGTTTTGGAATAATTACCAATAATTTGTAATAATTTTACATAATTCACAATTAATCATAATTTATTCAATTAATGGGGAAATAATTTGGATCAGGTGTGCGTGTATTTACTGAGCCATCCCCCAAATTTTGAGCACACAGTAATTTTCCGAATCCGATTGTAAATTTCATAACTAGCTCAAGAGGCGTGGCCAAGGGGCGCTGGTAGAGTCATCAGGTAGCTGACTCTCCGCCTCCCGTGGGACGTGGTAGCACAGCGGTAAAGAGCGTGCATCACAAGTCAAAGATCCCGGGTTCGAAACCCGCTGATCAAAAGCAGAATCGGTTCAATAAAAAGCATAAGGCCGCTTGGGTGTTCATATACATGAACACTTAGTTGTCCTTTTGCTTAACTGCTCTAAAATGACCTCGCAAACGCGAATTTGAATTTTCATAACATGATATGAATTTTCATAACGTGATTGTAAAACAATTTACAATCATTTTTAATTTTAGTTTTCATAACAATTGTTTGTGAAAAAAAATGCCAACCAATGTTATGAAAATTACAACTGGTTTTTTTAACAGTGAAACAATCGATTTAACCCTTCTGGTGGTGCTAATTTGAGTGCCCAATCTTCTTCTGGTCTAACGGATCAATTGGGGGCCTTTAATAAGTATTGTCTTGTTTGCGTTTGGGCGCCCGGTTTGTGGAAAAGCTAGTTTTCTTTTTGTTTCACTCGATTTCGGAATAGTCAATCGCGGAGATATTAAACGCGCGAGAACTTAAAAGAGAAGACCGGACGGACAGGCCTTTAGCCTTTGAAGTCTAAAACATAATCCTGAACAAGATTACTTTCATTGTGACTTACATTTCCCTATCTCCAACCGACCTTTACTGAAATGTTGTGCCTGCGATGAAAGTTAGCGATATGATTACTTTGCTTCATCAACGCACATTCGCATGGACCAGGTCCGACCAGGTCGAAACTCATTTCGCAAGAGCTTATTTCAGTCTGAGAGATTCATCCTACTCCGGACTTTTTGTTTCGACCAATAGATTGATCGCCACGAGCCTGAACTCATTTGAGTTTACTCCTAGGGCACAACTGAGTACATTCCTTTGTTAGTGTGTTGAATTGAGTACTACCCGCCCGTGGTTGCACCCTGAAGAGTGCGTATTAAATCTATTTAATACGCACTCTTCAGGGTGCAACCACCAAGTGCATAGACTTTTAACTTTCCTAAGCAGATTCAGAATAGGACGAGCTTTTCGTTAAACAAACCCTTCTCATCAAAAACTGTCGTAAAAACTCGCTTGGCGCGTTACCCTTTACGAACTGATATGGCGGTCTCAAATTTAAATGTGGCAGACTGTACCTGAGCTGACACCTTACTCCCAGGTAGCGCAGTGTTCAGTTCATTGATGAATTGCACCAATAGATGTATACTAACTTTAATAGAAAACGACACGTACGTTACTCCCCCATCAAACACTCAAAAACTAACAGTTTGCGCCCTATGTAGACTTTCCTCGCAGTGTCCCGGATCACCGCGCTCCAGCAGCCCTTCGCCGAGTGGCTTTGTCGCGGTCCTAGTATCCGCGCTATTACTATAGCAGGGATTGAACCTTCGGAAATCACCGAGTAAAACAAAAAAAAAAAACAGCTTAGCCACAATCTGGGCGCTCAAACGCAAACAAGACAATGCTCATTAAAGGCCCCCAATTAATCCGTTACACCAGAAGGAAATTAGGCACTCAAAATAGCACCACCAGAAGGGCCAAATCGATTGTCGAACAGTTTTTCGCCTTGATCCACTTCATTATGGAGTTCTGAGCTAAAATAGACGCCGGTTACCTCTTACAGGTAGACACCCAGAGTGCAAATTTTGAGTTTTTGAAATCAGACATTTCATATTTTTACTAATTTGACCATTTCTGACAACTTTTGTTTCATGGAATATGCCCGTGAAATGAATATTAAGGCCGCTTTACTGCTGGTCTATCATTTAGCAGTGCGCCTAACTTACCCTGCCGTGCGGGACCACTTCCGGTGACCTCAAAAATCCCAAAAAATTCTCAGAGTCTTAGAATCCGAAAAGGAACCGAATTTCGTTTCCGCGCATCGACATTTCGAACCTTCGGGAAATTTGAGCCGGTCTGGGGACTGTCAGGAACTGAGGATGCACCGGTAAAACTGAAGCGTAGTTGTATGCTTGATTCAAGCATACAACTACGCTTGAAGACTTTACGCTTGATGTCAAGCGTAGAGAGGAAATTCTCCCATGCATTTAGATAGGCGTGAGAGGGGCAAAATGGAGAACTATGCTTGAAGCCAAGCGTAGTTCTACTACGCTTGACGAAAGGCGTAAAACTACGCTTGAGTTCTACCAGTGTGAATGCTCTCTTACTCATCGTTGCCATCCTCTTCAATATATGCTGTGAAAATTTTTTTTAGGGCACACCCAGACCAGTTTTGGTTTACATCTTCAAGTCCCTTATGACCTAATTGCTCTGCTCTTATCTTTCCTGTCACTCAAATCCTTCTTGAATCTGTTTCCAGTTCTCTTCACACTTTGCTCCGGTCGACTTCTGACCCTGAAGAAGATAAATCATCAACCAAGATTCGACTCTCAGTCGCAGAGGAACATTCAGAAGGGCTTGAAGGAAAGAAGATTGTCTGAAAATTTTTGATGGGACCATATTGTTTGTATTGACTGTGTGTTTATGCAATAAATCTTACTGGAATGTTTCTGAGTTGCTCACTCCTTCTCCCTTCTATCTTCATTGTTAGATAGGTAACTTATCATGGTGATGCCCTTACAGTAGTCAATGGCCTGCCATTCGACCTTCTAACGATTCCATTTCTTACACGACTACCATTGCCTCAGATTGGCGGAACAGTCAAGTGTGGGTTCATGCGATGCTTAGGTGTATGAAGCCTAGCAGGGTCAGACATGCGTTCAAATGCCATACCCACTGGATAGCTTAGAAACAGCCACATGTGGCACAGGGAAGGCAAAAACTTGGCCAAAATCTGGAACGCTATAGTCATTTATTAACAGCCAAAGTCAAATCATAGTACGAACATACAACATTAAAAATTATGGACCATAATTTGACATAACATCATAACATTATGGAGAGCTCTAAAGTATAAACAATAATAGCTTAGAAACAGCCACATGTGGCACAGGGAAGGCAAAAACTTGGCCAAAATCTGGAAAGCTATAGTCATTTATAAACAGCCAAAGTCAAATCATAGTACGAACATACAACATTAAAAATTATGGACCATTATTTGACATAACATCATAACATTAGGGAGAGCTCTAAAGTATAAACAATAATAGGGTCAAATAGCTTAATATACACCTATACACCTGACTTCACACAAAAAGAATCTAAGTTTGTAATGTTCATAGCATGAACATTTGTCATTCATCATAAAAAATCAGTAAAAATTTGCGAGAAATGAAGAAAGTGGGCTGCCAAAGCATAGCAGATAAGGAACAGATACAGTACCCAAAGGAGCAGACAAATAAAGCTGATCATGACATATTAAGCCCTGCGAAAAACAGTATACTGAAGTTGCCTATCAAATGACAAACCGCAGTTAGGAACAGGACATGAGCTCTAAAGTATAAAAAATAAAAGGGTCAAATAGCTTAATAAACACCTATACACCTGACTTCACACGAAAAAGAATCTAAGTTTAAATAAAAAATCAGTAAAAATTAGCGAGAAATGAAGAAAGTGGGCTGCCAAAGCATAGCAGATAAGGAACAGATACAGTACTCAAAGGAGCAGACAAATAAAGCTGATCATGACATATTATGCCCTGCGAAAAACAGTATACTGAAGTTGCCTATCAAATGGCAAACCGCAGTTAGGAACAGGACATATACCGTTCACTGAGTCTACACACATGGTACACAAGCCGTGGCCGCAATGGACTACCCCATCAGTTTCCAGGCGGCACGCATTGCCTTCATTGGAGTTGGTAGCGGGTCTTAGGAAAGATGGTGGCGGCGCTGCAGCTGCAGGTGCTGGCACCGCAGCGGCCGCTGCCGCAGCAGCCAGCATCCTGTTGCGGACCGTCACTGGTCCTGGAGGTCGTCCACGCCCCCTGGTAGCAGCAGGCCTTTGGTATGGAGTTCGAAGATGCTGAGCTGCCAGACCCTCCCAGGGATTGAATCGAGGGCCAACTGCAAGGAGAGAAAACCATAAAATAAATTAAAATGCTTCAGGAAGTTCTTGTGGGGTCAAAATGCATACATAGGTGTGATAAAATTTGTATGCACATAATTGCAACAGATCATCCCTCAAAGCTCCACATAGCTTTCCTGGACATGAGCTAAATTAAGGTTAATAAAAGTGACAATTTTTAGCAGCACTCAAAGTTGCCTCTGTTACTGGATTGTCCAACAGCAATAAGATCTGATATAAATGCGATGCTGTTTCTCTAAAGAACATTTTTCAGTGATGGCAACATTGTACTTACATCGTGGAGAGGCAGGTGCTGGAGGGGGGGGGGGGGGCAGGTTCAATTGCTGAGGTTGTCCAATCACCTCCCGCAACAATTCTACAGAGTTGCGGTTTAAAGTTCCTGTAGAGCAGAAGGGATAATGTTAACAAGATTACATACACAAAAAAATAAATGTTAAGACCTGGGAGAATTCATTAATCGTGAAGGAGTTGCCACAAATAAGTAATTGAGTCTGACTTTCGAGGCTCTGGACTTTAGTTTCAGTTCGCAAGATGATTGTATCCCAGGTACAAATATTTTAAGTTCCCAGTGATAATAATCTAAAGTTCCCAGTGCTATACATTATTTATCAGTGCAGGACTCATGTTGGCTCTTCCCTTCATCATAGCGCTAATGAAAGCTACTCTGGAACTAAATGGGAACAGGCTCTCATTCGACAACATTGAGGTGGAAATGAAACAATGAGATGTTGCCCTGCTTAATGGGCTTACTGGCCCAAAAATTAACAAGGCTGACGTATTTTATTTACATGACATGATCGCAAGTTACCCCAATGTTCCACTGGTGCAGGTACACAGATATAATGGTTCAGGTTCTCTCTGAAGACCAGCATTACAAGAATTGATGGGGAAACCCTCGAAAACTAGCTTAACTGGTTCTGCGAAGCTAAAAACATCAAGACGCAGTCCCATTCCATTCAAAAGGAAGACTTACCAAACAGATTGATGTTTATCACGCTTGGGCTCACAGGGTTCGCACCACCAACGGCAGCGCCGACTGCAGCCCCTCCTTCCTCGGTGGGTGGTGGAGTTGGCGGCTGAGCTTCAGGGTCGTCCACGTCCTCCTCTGAAAATAAGAAACATAGGAGATGCAAACACTAAACTACTAGCCCTGAGCAACGTTGCCCGGCCGCGAGGAGGCGGTGACGGCGCCGTTGTTATGTGGCGGCTAGGTTATGAACTTCACAATTCGATTGAAATTCAAACTGAGAAATCTCATTAAGCATCGCTGAACAGCGCAAGAAGCATTCGGGAAAAGGGGATTCTGAAACAGTGGATTCGGCTTGGACTCGATTGCATGACGCCATGACAGGCCATGCCAGACGCTGAATCTAAAGAGGCGTTGAAAGCATTGAACTCCCCGGCAGTAGCAGTCAATCCGGACTAAAAGAGGGCGAGGCAATTCTGAGGACTTACGAAACTGATTGTGGGTGTCCACCATGGTGAAGAAACAAGGATCGGCGAAGGCAGATAGGTCAGAGTCAGAGACAGAGCAGGCAGTACGCAACGTGCAACGGTTAGCGACGAAATGGGAAGAGGAGCGCAAGCCGGAACCGGAAGCAGGGAGCTAAAGACTGAAAGGGGTAGTGGGGGCGAGGGCTCGTTCGAATGTTCGAATCGAGTGGTGCGAAGTGACCACTAGATTTCAACAAGTGGTCAGAGATTTCAGACTCCACTCGCGAGATATAATATTACATGGCCGACACTGGCGAATATGTGCCGTTTAATTTCTGGGAAGATTCAGACCGGAAGTCCCGCATTAAACTGGAAAAACAAAAGTGTATCGCCTGGATGTTTGCTGAGCGGTGGTGGGGCTATCATGGTCACGGTGAAGGTAGCTGACCGCTGCCTACTCTACCCCCACCACTCACAAAATAGCCCCCACTACAGCCTGGCGTTGCCACGCGATTAGGGGTGTGCGAATTGTTCGAAATCGAATCGAATCGAATCTGCGTAGTTTCGATTCGCTCACGGAATCGACGATTCGATACCGAAACATTCGAAAAATCGAATCAACGCGTTTCGTCTTCGAATCAGCTGTCCTTCGCCCTGCCATTTGGATTTTCGCGCCTCTCCATGCCTGTGGAGTTTCTCATAAGGGAACCGCTAACTTTCTCATACCCAGCCCGCTTTTTGGCATTCCACCTCTTCTCCCTCCACTCTCCCCTCCTCCCCTCCCCCCCTACAGTGTACTGGTGGTTAACGACGCTTTCGCGCCAAGAAGGGCGCCGAAAAGTTTAGACTATTTTCTAATCTTTTATCAGGTACGTGTTTCCTGTGAATGAAATTTAACTTTTTTCTTGGAACTTGAAGCATTGCGTGAAAGATATGCTGGAGTTTGAAATGTGTTTACGAGGGCAGTAATGTTCTCTGTCGCGAGAAGGAGGTTGGGTTCCTCTAGCTTGTTGCAACTTGAAAAATTGCTTGTTTTCAGATAGGATGACTAGCTCGTCGTTAGTTCCAATCATATCTGATAATGAAGATGAAGGGAACCTTGAAGATGACCCTGTGGATCTTGAACCAGCTGAAATTTTTGATGATGTGTTTCCAACTGACAATGCATCTGCAGAACCAAGAAGAAAGAAAGTGACACTACTTGATCATTTTAAAAGTGCTTCCACTACTGAAAATGAGGAACAGAGTACTTCCACCACTGAGGAGGCACAAGAACACAGGAATGCTCAAAACAATACTCGTGTGAAAGATGGTCCGTCACAGAGTACCAGTGCACAGTCAGGTAAAGATATGATGGTAAATTAATGAACAGGTTTTTTTAAGTTCACATTTTTGTTTTGTATTAATTTTATCTTAATTTATCTTTCTATGTAGACTGCACCTTGACTCCAGAGGAACAAGCTATGGTTGATGCATCCGGATCACTTGTGTGGAATTATTTTTCAAAGGACGGAAAGGACTCGGCCAAATGCAAAATTTGTTCTGTGGTGAGGAGCACTCCAACAGGAACAACTAAAACTCTGATCGTTCATTTAACTAGTCATCAAAAGCAATATAGTCAGTATTTAAAATTAATGAAAGCGAGGAAACAGATTCAAGAGGAAAAAAAAACTGAAAGGAGTTTACATGATAAACCACAACAAGTTGTGACTCTGAAAGGAAGGTTTGGCGTACTCCCCTCTTCTTCTAAACGCTCTAAAGACTTGACAAGGGCTGTAGCACTTTGGCTTGCGAAAGGACTTCATGCATACTCTGAAGTTAACGAGCCTGGGTTCCGTCTTCTCATGTACACAGCTGAGCCAAGGTATGTTGTGCCACACCGTACAACCTTTTCAAGAAGCATTATCCCCAAATTATACCAGGAAGAAAAAGAAAAACAGAGAAAATTCATTGAAAGCATACTGGATTTTATAGAATCCCTTACAATTACTACTGATATGTGGTCATCAAGAGCACAAGATTCATTTTTGGCTTGCACTGTCCAATTTATAGTGCTCAACTTAGCACAAAGTAAATTTGTTCTCAAGCATCTCACCCTTGATTTGATTCCATTCCCTGGCTCTCACACATCAGATCGGATCTGTGAGGCAACTATGGAAATGGTTCGCAATATAGGTGTAAATTGTGAAGAGGTCAAAGTTTACATCATTACTGATAATGCATCTAATATGGTAGCTGCCCTAGCAGAGCCCAGCCTGCAGAAATCTTTGAACCCAAAAATTGCACCTATTCTCAGAGAATCTAGGGAGTGGACTGATCATTTACGATGCACTGATCATACGCTGCAGCTTGTAATAGGAGATGCCAGAAAAGAAATCGGTTTCAATACTATCATTGAGAAAGTGGTATCCATAGTGAACAGGTACAGCTATAGCAATGTTGCCAAGGAAAATTTGAAGAAAAAACAAGTGGAAACTAAAACAGTTCAACACTCTCTCATCACACATGTTGCAACTCGGTGGAATTCCGAATTTCTTATGATGGATAGGTTCTTGGAACAGAAGACTCCAATTACATTGGAGCTATCTGATGCTGGAGAAGAGAACTTGACTGCCCTACAATGGAAAATGGTAGAAGGGTATGTTGAAGTTTTAAAACCAATTGCAATGTTTACTGCTGACTTGGGGAGTACCAAGCAGCCAACACCGTCCATGGTAATCCCAGTGGTATTTGAAATCAAGAATTGTTTGGAGGATTTTATCAAGAATCCCTCGAATAAAGGGACAGGAGTCACTTTTGCAAGGGCCATTTTGAAACATCTTAACATAAGATTTAATGACTCTGACTATCTGGAAAATCCCCTGTACCAACGGGCAACACTTCTTGATCCACGATTTAAGGATCTTCTGATAGAGGATAAAAGTAAAGCAGTCAATTTACTTGTAACAGCTGCTAAGGAGAAATACAGGCAGAATGTCAGAAGAGGCCGTGTTGAGGCCCAGTCTACACTTCAATCTGATCCTGTTGATGCTCCATCTGAGCCTCATGCCAAGAAAAAAAAATGGGGCCACCTCCAAAAAATTCAAAGGACTGTTGACTCAGAAATATTAGATGTCACCAACATCATCCAAAATGAGGTAAGATAATTTTAATATCACACTTAAAAATGTTTTAAAAAAAGGGTAAAATAATTTTTGTAAAATAAATCCTTTTTTTTTAAATTGCAGGTAAAAACGTACCTTGCTATGCCTCCCATTGATGCTGACAAGGGAGATGCTATATTGTGGTGGGAGTTAAATATGAAAACCTTCCCACATCTTGTTGGCATTGCTGCAGAGTACCTTGGCATCGCAGCAACAGAAATCCAAAGTGAAAGAGATTTCTCTACAGGCAACGATGTAGTAACACCAAACCGTACCAAAGTTTTGACCCAGCATGTGAGACAGATGGTGTTCTTGCATCGGAACTTAGAAGTACCTACTGTACCTGACCATACTGTAGCATCACCATTCCTGGACTCATCTGAGCAGTGATATGTGAATTTTTATGTAGTTTTTAATTGAAGTCATACTCCTGAAAACTGACTGATTAGATAATTTATCATTTCAATGTGATAACATTGTACTAGTCCAAAGTGTACTTTTAATGTTCTAAATAAATTGTATTTAGACCGATTTGTTTGACTAAATTGACAAAAAAAACCATGACCCAGTAGGCATTATGCCACATTTTAGAAAATCATTTAAAATTTGGCAATATTCGGATTCGATTCGAAAATTTCGTTCAGATGTTCGGATTCGATTCGATTCGGGAAAAAATTGCGGATTCGATTCGATTCGGGCTATTTTGAGAGAGATTCGATTCGATTCGAAGACAAAATTCACGATTCGCACACCCCTACACGCGATGATCATTTGTTTTTTCCCCTTTGGTTTTGGACTTCCGGTCTGCGTTTTCCGAAGTGGATACGTACCGTCTCTTGTATTTTTCTCTTGACCACGAGATTCTCTCTCGCCACGAGACGCCCATTCAGCTGCATCCAGCACGCGAAACAGCAGCCGCGGTTGCGGCCCTGCTCGGCCAGGCTCTCTAGCTCGGCCTAGGCGTCCCTCCTTCGCCCTTCGCCTTGCCGCTCCCCGACAGCACCGCACCGTGGACAGCCACGCTCCGCTCATGCCGCTGAGGCACGTGGGACAGGTGCGCGGCATGCCTCGGTAGATCGTCAGCGCCTTACAGTCAGTTGGGCCAGAACAACGCGACACTCGCATGGCGCCGTCCGTCACATGTCGCGTAAGCCGTGCGGGGGAAGTCCAGCACCTCGGCGTCGACGCCGACCGCCAGGAAGGACAGCTTGCTTCTGATCCGCGGAACGAAAGGGGCGAGCCCGTTCTAGTCCTTGTCTTGCTGCAGCAGACTGATTCCGAGAGTCTTCGTCGCTCTGTCTCTCTCGCACTCGTGGGGCGTCCTGTAAAGTGCGAGAGAGACAGAGCGCCAAGGAACGAGGGTTTAGTTCGTAGTCGAGCTATAGGCGGGCAGGCAGCAAGCAGCTGCAAGGGATTCTGAAGAATACTGTTTGTCTCTGGGTGTGGGGGGGTTTAAAGGGGAGCAGGGCAAGGAAAGGGATGGGCGAGGGGTTTTTTGGCACCCCCGGCTGA